ATATTAATTAAGATATACAAAAATGAAGAATTTACACAAAACACGAAACTAAAATTAGTGAAAAAATTTAATAATAATCTGAATGTATAAATAAATAGAAATATGTATCTTAAAAAGAAAGCAATTGATGTTAAATTATATTTCATATTTAATTTAAATTGAGTTACGACAATTTTAAATATTTAAGTAAAACTTTTGGAAAGACTGAAACGAAATTAATTGTTGAAATCACATTTGTTGCTAAACTCATAATGGAAAGTTCATTATGCACTTTTTATTTATTGTTGAAATTATTAATACATTTATATATTTAATTTGTTTTATTATTTTTCATTTTTAAATATTTTTTTAGTTTATTTTACATTTATTTGTTATACTAATTTCAAACGAAAATCTTGTTAAAAGGTTTCGTCTTGTTTGCATATCACAAGAAAGAAATATATTGAAAATTAAAATTTATTTATTTAATATTTAAAAAAAAAATAAAACAAAAATAATTTAAATAACTAAGATGAAAAAATTTAAACTGAGCATAACTACAAATGTTGAGTAATTGAAACGAAAAGGAATATTAGAATTTAAAATTAGATAAAGTTAGTTTTGGCTTTGCCAGAGCTTCAATACCCTTCTCACATATACTTTTACTACAAATCTATTAATAACTATTTATTTGATCAATTTCTGCCACCATAATTTTAAATTTCACGTTGGACATGAAATTCAATCCATTTTAAGACAGTATTGGTCTGTTTTAGTCTAGAAGACAGAGATGGCCAACCTTTTTAAAACGCTTATTGAGTGCTAAAATTTTTTTTTGTTTTAATTTTGATTTCCCCAGATCGTAGTAAGTCTTTACATATTTAATCACAAGTGCCATCGCTGTGGTCATCTGCCACCATCGCTGTGGAATTGGAAATTTGGGAACTGTAGAGATGTAGGGTACCGGTAGTGTCAAAGAAAATTTCACTAAAGCAGTTTGTGTGCCATAGGTACACAATTGCAGTTATAAACTCTTTTTAACATTATTTTGTACAAGTGCTACTTGCTTTAATAGCACTGACTAAAAGTTCTGTTTAGAACTAGACTGTCCGGTTGTCTTCATAAAGCGGAAAATCACTACATTTTCATAGAACACTAAATTAATAAATTTGAAAAACTGTACAATAGCTACTTAAAACATCTCGTCCAATATGGACAATTTGTAATATGTTTTTTAAATCTATGCTCGACTATTTAAAGTAACTCGAAAAGTAGATTTCATCAAAAGAGACGTAGGAACAAAAAAAAAATAAAAGACAAACAGATTAAGACACGACTTTGAATTATTTCACACTAAGACTAAAGAATATATAGAATAATATAATGCTTTAGAAATCTAATAACCTTACACAAGACAGGGTGATTTTTGTAGCGACAGAACTTTCTCTTTCATGGGATATAAGGCTCTAAGTTTTGAAACTAACAAGCACAATTAAAGAAGGAGATTATTTTAGAAAGACCTATGGTATACATTTTCATAGTACAATGCCATTATCTTACCAACTCTGGGTATTGACATAACTTTCCATGTACCTCGATTAACGATTTTTCGTCGTTTTGCTACCACATTTCTCCAATAACCCCGCAGATAAAAAAATATGTACTAAATCCAACCCGGGAATTTAGATAATTTAATAGATCTTTTATCTCTATCTATGAATAGTCTCATGAGCTGTCAAAGAAATACCTTCCTAAAAATCTATTTCTTTTGAACGCTAAAATCGGGCATTCACAGAGAAAGTGTTTAATGGTTTCTTTTTTCTGCAGATTTCCACAACTTTTGCAGTGAGAATTATGAGGTAAGCCATTTTCATTGGCATTGCAATCTAATAGTTTTTTTTAACTTCCTTTTCCAATTGCAACCATCTGCTGTCGTATGTCTCTTGATTAGAGTCATAAAAGGTTCAATGTGCAATATTTTATTCGATTAATCCAAAAACTAGTTTAAAATAGATACACAGATAGACGATTATCACATTTCGATGTATAGTTTATGTGTTAGGCAACGTTAATTTTGCAGAGTTACAAATATCTGGATGAACCTAATAAATTGTAGTGTATAGTTGTGTGAAGGGTATGTGACAAAAATAATTTAATAAATATATAAAAAAATAAATATTTTGTCTCTTTTATATGTGTGCGTAGTTTGAAGTTTATAACATACGGAATAAATATTAAGATAATTATACTATATTTAAATATAAATTATAAAATAATCACCTGTAGAAAGAATTTGGCGCTGCTCAAGAAGTTGCATATAATAAAACAATTGAAATTATTGAAATAAGTAGCTGAGCAAATAAAAATGAAGAAAATTATATTTCAGCATAAAAAAAAATTAAATTTTGGCAACCCAAAATGGAAACTCAGCAGCTCAACTTCTAACTTGAAAATTGTCTGTCCTATGAAAATCTGCTCACACATATTAATTTGTTAAGCAATAATTTATTAAATTTTAAGAATTCAACTATTTGCTTTTTTTGTTTAATTCAGTAATAAATTAATTAAAACATTAATTAGTTTTAAATTAAGTAGCTAGAAACCTGCTCTTCTATTATAAGTAAATGCAAGCAATTTTCTTATAAATTTCATATCTAATTAAATCTTACTTCTACTCTTTTACTTGGGAAATAGTTTTATTTAAATTTTTTACTAAATTTTTTAATTACTTACTAAATTCTTAAACAAAAATTAAACTTAAAACGAAATATAAATGTATGTGAAAATACCTTTAAGAATATGGAAAATTATTATCAGAAACGAAAAATACAAATACTTATAAATAAAATATATAAATATTATGAAAGTGAATAAAAAGAACTTCTTTATGCGTTTCATTTTCGGCAACAGGGATATAACAACTTTAAGGTAGTCTTCTAATTTTATGGGTTAATCTGTTATCACCAGTACTATATTAAAAGTGGACATAACACACGATGGCTCACAATTGACATAATTATGTGCAAGATAGATGCCCTGAAGCTATAGGAACTCAAATATTTTGGGGTAAAAGAAAAAGAATACACGTAAATAAGGTTCTGCATCATCTCACAAAGCAATGACGAACTAACAATTCAATTCAAGATTCCATGTTCCACACTTTGTTTAACCATACAATGGTGTCTACAATCACCTCCCAACTTGTTGATATAGCGGAGTCTAAAGCATTTTGCATGGTCGATATGCCATGCTAATGGTATGCAATTTTCCGAAATCCACTTATGTAGCCACCCATGATTATGTTGACATGATGACTTTATTTACACCGACTGTTGTAACAAATTTTTTAGCGAAGGTGCAAATACTTAAAACCTCACAAAGTCATGCCACTCTGTGTTACATCTGTGTTAATTTTTTTAATCGAGATTTACTTTTAGTACAATTTAGTAGCAAAATTACACGAAAAGTAACAACTGTTTTATATGACTTGAAAAATACAATGTAATTTGATTCGCTATATTATAAAAAATATTATTGTCAACTAAATCTACTACAAAAATGTAGGACCCCTTTAAGCTCGAAACACCGAGTTCACTGATCTTTCAACATTTGTATAGCTTTAAAATAATATGATGTGAAGTTCTTGAAGATATATCTCAGTTTCATATTACCCTTCATGATTTGATGTAAATATTTTTATCTGAAACCATCTTTTCAAGTTTCGAAACAGGTAATCAGGTAGTCACTAGGAGCCAAATCTGAAGAATACGTTAGGTGCGGAAACAATTCGTACCATAATTCATTTCATTTTGGCATGGTTTTCATAATGTTTGAGCGAGTGCGTTATCCTGCAAAAATAAAATTTTTTCTTCGACAAAAGTGATCGTTTTTTCTTGATTCAATCGATCCTCATTTAATCATTCCAATAATATGCAATAGTAGTCTGATGTTATTGTTTTTTCTCTTTCCAAACAGTCTATGAAACTTATTTCATTTCAATCCCAAAATACAGAAGCTAAAACTTTTCCAGCCGACTGTTGAGTTCGTGGTCGTTTGGGAGCACTGCTACTGGGTTCTACTCACTCTCTAACTTGTTGTTTTTTTGTCCCTCAGGTATGAAGTAATGGATTCATATTTTATCAATTGTCACTATTCGGCGCTCAAAATCAGCTAGATTGTACATAAACATTTCCAAATAATGTTTTGAATGACGAAGTCGTTGTCATTTTTGGTCTTTGATTTTTAGTAAGATTTGCGGCACCCATCTTACCGAAAATTTCTTCATACTCAAATGTTCATGTAAAATATTTGATATACGTTCATATGATATGTTTGTCATCTCCGCTTTTACGCAATTTAATTTTTAGATCATCCAACACAATAACGTGGATTTTTTCTATGTTTTTCAGTTGTGACCTCTTTTGGACGACCCGGACGTACGATCCGGATGAAAACACTTATACGATAACGCTTAAATTCAGCTTTCCAATATATTATTGTTGTTACCAATAGTGAAAGTTAACAGCCGCCGTTAACAGAATCCATTTCCAATTTGATTGGTTTATTGTGCTTTCTTTTCGAATGAAGGAAATTTATTACTGAACGATATTCAATTTTTTCCATTTTATAAGAAATCACATAGGTGCATTATTTCAATTATTTGCAAAAAGCAAACCAAACATTTGACGAAGTAGAAACCTTTATTGCTGTCGTTTAAAAATATAATTGTATATATAATTGTATATATACAATATAATTGATTTTGTTGTGACTCTGTCCACTGTTGTGAAGTCAGGTAATGATCAATCCACCAAGTACAACAGAAAATCCATTCGAAAACTGTTAGAAATATTATTTTTGCTTCATGGTTTATACGCACTGAGGTTGTCTAATGGAACTGATTATATTTGTGGACTGTTTTAGATTTTTATATGAAAAATATAAAAAAGCAATTTCATATAAAGGATTTGGATATAAAAATACATCAGTAAAAAGCAAAGTTCATGTTTTTTTTTAAGCATTTATATTTTTATTTTATTCATTTTTAAGTATTTTACTCTGCATTATAAACTCGCCGCAAGTACTTAAATGTGTAAGGTCTCAGTTTTTGCTAGTTGCCGTTCATACTGCACACGTATGTACACATAAAGGAATAATTGTTATTTAATTAACTTATATAAATAAACTTTGAATAATAAGAGCTTAAAATTCAACAACTCAACAAAATCAAGTTTAGCTGAGCAGGGATCAAATGAATGGCCAACACTTAAAATATTTCGCACAATGTTTATGAAATAAGACGACTTTTTTAACAGACTGTATGATGGCAGGGTCTGCACTAGGTCTGTCTGATGGCAATGTCGCTATGTTGGCTATGTTAAACTTAACAAATAGAAAATCATTTATTGTAGCTCGTACAGCTAATATTGGCAATATTTGCGTTTGTTTGTGTGTTGTCAACAGTAGTTTTATCTTCAGGTATTTCGGGATCTTCGCGTTCTTCTTCTTCATCAATAATACTGATATCACGAATCGATGGACGATGACTCCTGCGCCAGCCTACAATGAAAACATCAAAATATGAGTATAAAACAAATTAACGAAACAATAATATATTAGTTGACCTTCAAGAATTTGAGGTTGTTTGGTCTTCGTCAGTAGTTTAGTGCCAGTGATAGAAATCAAGATAGCACCTAGGGGAGCTGTCAACACAATACTTAATATTGCTAGTGTTTGCACTATGTAAGCATATCGTCTATCCGCATCACTTGATGCATCAGTTAAGTTTCTCATAGCAACCGGACCAAGTGCTGCCTGTACAGTTGCTTTAGACATCCACGACAAAGCAACAAAGAATTTCTCTTTTACATTGAGGCGATCACCAAAAGCAATACCGGCTGTTGAAAAAATACGTAATATAGCACCGGCAGCTATGCATCCACAACCAACATAAACAATGTCAGGCTCTAATGCGCTAATCTATAAAAAAAAATTATTGTGAATCAATATTGTTGTCAACGTTCAAGTCGTGAGTGTAGAATATATATTACCTTAACAGTAGCACCAGTAATGCCGAACAATATTGGTTCGAATATCATCCAAAATATTTCAAATGCAGTCGATACTGGATTATCTTCAACGTCCCAACCTTGTTTACACCAAAACAAATTTGAAACAAATGCTGAGAATACAACAGCCAATGGGCCAGCACCTTCATAACCGATTTCCTCGCTACCATAAATTGCCATCAGTCCGCCAGTAAACAGTAAAATTGTACGTAGTGGTACTACGTAGGGATCGCCTTTCTCGGGGAAAAAACGTGACATGTAGCCCCAAATAACACCAAACCCTAAACCACCCAAAATACATACAGGTGCTTGGGAAATTTGATAACCAATACCACGGTCAGAAAACATCACACTGCTTATGATACCAAATATGGCTACTGATAATGCATCATCGATACCAGCAACAGCAATAATCAGAGTAGGTATGCCTTTAGCCACACCGTAACCTTTCGTACGCAAACGAAATAAACACGGTACAACAACAGCCGGCGAGACAGCAGCGATAATAGAACCCATCAAAAAGGCCCAAACCCACGGCAAATCCAACAAGAAATGTGTCATTACTGCAACAACGCAACATTCCACTGCCCAGGGAACGATACCCAATTTTAGTATGGTCTTGTAGACCTTTTTAAATGCCTTCGGCTCCATTTCGAGGCCAGCTCGAACAAGTATAATTGTTAACGCAAATTTACGCAAGTGCGCTGTTACGCGTCCGAAGTCACCATCTAAATTTACCCAGCCAACATTCTGAAAATAAAATATATTAATTAACAAGATAAAAAAAAAAAATAAGTAAGATAATTATAAGCAATTAAGTGCAATTAACTTCATCATGTCAAAGTTGAAACTAACAAGTAAGACGTTGCGCTCGAGGTCAAAGGTAAAATTTATATAGATCCCAGACGATAAAATCAGATGCTGACAAACAAAAGCAATAAATAAAAAATTTGGAAGATTAAAATAAACAATATTCAACTAAAATATTCAACTAAATATTTGATATAAGTCTACGACTTATCATATCAAGTTATCACTTATTGTGATTAGCAGATTGCATACGGATTTTGGCAAAACTATAAGGACCTTTTTGTAGACAATTTATTGAGACCAATATTATGATGTTGTAATCCATTACTTCATACCTGAGCAAAAACAACACATCAAGCTAGAGAATGAGTAGAACCCGGGGGTATTGCTCCCAAGCGACCACAAACTTAACAGTCGGCTGGAAAAGTTTCGGCTTCCGTATTTTGAGATTCAAGTGAAATGAGTTTCATAGACTTTTTGGAAAAAGGAAAAACAATAACATTAGACTACTATTGGATATTATTGGAATGATTGAATGAGAATCGATTGAATCAAGAAAAAACGACCACTTTTGTCGGAGAAAAAAATTTTATTTTTGCAGGATAACGCACTCGTTCAAACATTATGAAAACCATGCCAAAATGAAATGAATTATGGTACGAATTGTTTCCTCACCTAACGTATTCTTCAGATTTGGCTCCTAGTGACTACCTGATTACCTGTTTCCAAACTTGAAAAGATGGCTTCAGGGGAAATGATTTGCATCAAATCATGAAGGGGAATGGGAAACTGGGGTGAATTTTGAAGGACTTCATAAATCATATTATTTAAAAGCTATCCAAATGTCGAGCTAAAAGGACAAACATTTTATTTTCCAAAATATAATGCGTTTTTATTACTTAGGCCGGGTATTTATCAACTAGGTGGGTAGACCTTATATATACAATAACTCCGCTTCTGTTCTTCTAAACGTCATTAAAATTTGTCTGTATATCACAATGTAGTAGATGGCCTATTTTAAGAAGTTCTGCTTATTTCGAATTCACGTCAAAACAAGGACGGATACTTATGACATTATTAAAATCATTATATTTGATTCAAGCCTTAGTATTTGAATTAACAATTAAGTTAATAAATGGATGACTGAAATTGTTTATCTATATAGTACATAAAAAAAACAAAAATTTTAAAAATAACAAAATGAATCCTATTCTAATTTTATCCCTGATTCCTGATACGTATGTCCAGAAAGCATGTCTTCTTTAATGAGTTTTTCTTTTCAACCTATATAAATATTATAATTTGTAATGTTCCATTTCATATAAAATCAGCAGCACTAAAATATGTCTGTTAGACTGAATTGATGGAATATGGTTCGAACCTCAAATTATTTAAATTGTCAACTTACTTGAAATAGTATGCCAACCATTAGCATACCAATAAGGCGAGGTAATGTTGTCAGTGATATCAAATATCCACCGAAATTAGCTGCAACAGTAAGCACCACTAAACCAAAAAGTTGCCCGCCAGGCGCAGCTGACTCTCCAATGATCACAAAAGCTGTTACCCAAATTAAGACACCTAGTAATCCAAAAAAAAAAAAAAAGAAATTAACATACATACAATAATAACAATTGCGGAATTATATTGTCTAAACCCACCGATTAATATTAGAACCATAATTCTAGCAAACTGTCTAAATGATGGACACAATGGATACGGGCACACCTTTTGCCAGTGTGGTGGTTCCCATGCCTGTGTGTGCTCTTCGCCTCTACATTTCAAACAGAAAGTGTAAAGCCATGACTCTTCCAAGTTATTGGTACCATTCGAGGATTGCTGCTGTAAATTGTGCTGGTTGATTTTTGCATTTAAACTGTCTAGTGCCGATATTCTGTATGGCCTATTGTTATCTGAAAGTAAAGTGAAACATCTTAATAATTCGTGTCGTATTTGTCATTTTTATTTATTATTATTTTACTAGTTTCTATTCAAGTGCACCAATAACCTTTAAAAATATTCCAATAAACGTAACTCGAGTGTTTTGACGCGTTTGATATCTAATTACAATATAAACATCACGACCAATAATACCGCAAATTAAATAGCGTCATTGTTTGATGAACAGGCAGGCAGTGCATATACACTTCCCTTACCTCAACTGCTAATTGATAAACCAGACTAAGAAATGTGCTTTAAAAATTCACAAATAATAATAATAATATCATAAAATATTTAAAAAGTTAATCAGCAAATATTTGGAAAAGTTGGTACTGAGCAACAGCTAACGCCGATATCTCAATTTATTTAAAATTTCTGTTAAGAACCTGACGCTTTGAGAAGTAAATTGAAAAAACAAGTAGATTAATGAATATTCCAATAGCTTTCGAGTGTAGAATGTAGTCATTCTACTGTATTTAAACCCTAAAATAACAAATTTTTAATCAAAAACTAATCACAAACATCTTTATTCTATTGTATGGTACAAATATACCACATACCATATATTCAGAGAATACATTATTGTAATATTGCAATGGAAAAATCGAAAAATCGATGTATTAAATATTTCTCGCCTAAAGACTTATACTTTATTAAAAATTGTTTACTTAAATTTTTTTTTTTTAACAAATAAACATTTATTTATTGTATCTTCTCTAACAATGAAACTAACAATAAGTTTTAAAATTTTATCACTAATTAGATATCACAATTTTTATTTTAACAATTTTTATAAAATAGGAAAAGAAAACCTCACTTTTAAATCAATGGATCAAATTCTTTGGAATCAACTTTTTCAGATTACTAAAAAGAAGAATAGGATTTTACTTGAAGCTATTATAAATAATGGCTAGACAGGCAACGGCTTTTAGACTGGAAGTAGTGGATAGAAATGCGAGATTCCTAGGTAAGTGGTTAACATGTTCATGCTTTAACTAGGGAAGTTTGTAGATCTCGTTAGATACTTTCATACCTAATATTCTATGGGGCATCAGTGATTGTTCTCAGTATTTTTGACTCAAGAGTACTTTATATTCTACGCACAGGCAGGATATGGCTCATTAATAGCCAGTGCAGCTTAGAGGTTTGGAGCTTCATTGGTATTATTTTTTTGGCTCCGGTATGCTTGCACCAAGTAAGTCGCCTGTCTAGTTGAGTAGCTAAGTACGTCATATTATCTGCATGTGGTAGTGGAATGTTATTTAATAAAATTGTTGGAGATATACTCCGCTTTAAGGTAAAAATGACTTATCTACAATTTAATTAATTAATTTTAATTCGTCATTTTGACAACCATTTCTGCACCCGAAATAATGTTTTTGTTTCAGTATAAAATTGCCATATTATCGGCAAACGTTGTGGTGACAACTGAATTACTTATTGGGATATTGGGATGCATAAAGTACATACAAGATAGGGCCACGAACACTGCCTTGTGGAACGCCAGGTTCTATTGGAAAATTAGTTAAAGTGAATAAATAATTATTTATTATAATAATTATTTATTAACATAACTTTTTGTTATAACAATTATTTATTGCAATAATTATTTATTATAATACTTATTTATCATAATTATTATTATCGGATAAAAATTATATAAGCAGAGTTATTGAGATATTTGCACATTGATATAAAAGTAAACTCTGATCAGAGCTTGCTTGTACAATAAATGCATATAACTAAGTTGAAATCTAAGGGCATCACAGATGAGGAATCAGCTATTATGTCAAGTAATTACAGGAGAACCTGCTGAAAACAACTGTAGACATATCTATATCTATCTATCATATCTTACACAAAGTTTCAAATAAATTCATATGTTTTCTCGATATCAACCACTTACGAGTATAAAATATTTGAAAAGTAAGAAATTTATACCAAATGTTAATAATCATCTCAAGTAGTCTTAATAAAAAAAATATAATATACATTAAATTCCAAATCCAGCTAAAGTTGTGTGATATTCTAAATTTTCTATTTCACTTTTCACGCAATATATCAAAATAAATTGGAAAGATCCACAAAACAAACTATTATAAGATTCTTTACTTATAGCCAAGCAGTTATGAAAGTGTCACAATCACTGTATATCAAAACTTAAGACGTCCTTATCTTGTATTACATCCTTAAACAATGTTAGCAGAAACAGGAACGTATCCATCATGACACCAGGACATAGGGACTACCAGAGTTACTATATAACAGATAAACTTGTTTGTACAAGCACAACACAATGGATATAGTTCTCCTATAGGTATTTAAATAGCAATCAAAGTCTGTAACTGTATGACACACTTTTGTTTTCTCTAAACAAAGCAAATGAGGTAGGAGAAAGAGACAATTCTGACCACTATTAACCCAACTATAACTTGAAAACTCATTGATTTAAATATAGATGAAATCGGCAATATTATATCTTTGTATTAAGTCATTGCGTAATAGACAAGCATACTGAGAATCTTTGTGACATCTACCAAGAGCAAGAGTAAGTATTATTGAGCTCTCATCTATTGTGTATTGCCAAGGATCTGAGCGACAATACTTGGATTCCTTTTTTTAAGAGAACGTTGAAAGACTATCAAAAACAGTTTTCGGAACCATCACAAAATTTTAATATAAAGAAAATTGGTAGAATTAGCTGCACTCAGTAAAATAATTTATTTGATTTAAACTAACTCTCAGATCAAAATATTCTAACTCAACGCATCATTCATATCTTCTTTATCACATGAGCTAACATTTTTCTAATTTTTCTAAAATTATCAGTTCAATTTAATTAGTATGTGGTTAAAGTATATTGTTCTGGGTGTGTTGAATGAAAAAGACATTTATCATAAAAATCCCTTAGAAAAAGGATTCATAGGAGGAAATACAACGTCAAGCAGAAGTCATAGGGAACAGCAATGGGCCTATAGATTCGCTCTTAGGCGTAGCACAACCTAAAAATAAATAATTCATTAGAATTATAGGAATATATTGAAATCCACTAGCACTACCATATTTATGTGAATAGTATATCATATATTATTTATGTAGTTATTATAACTACATAATTAATATAAAATATGTAGTAATCTTCTGATCATCTATTCTATGGTACTGAGAACTATTTTATTTGTTAAAAAATACAAGCTGAAATTAAAAATTTTCCATAAAGCAGTTAAAAAAATTAACATAAAATTTAGATTAAGTAGAGTGGTAATATTTTTCCATTATTATTAAGAACTGATAACACATTTTTCAAGAATCCCATGTAGTCTGATGTCTTACAAGCCAATTGATTATGTTGTCTTATTGCTTATCAGTAAGAACAGTGAAATTGAATTGTTATCAGGTGTACGATTTTATATTACTATGAGATAGTTCTTGAATTTTTAAATTGGGAAACCACTGCTAAAACCACTGCGATATTTAAATTCACAGTATCGATCTATACACAAATTAGTAATTCTAGATAAAGCAAAGTTTTTAATTAAACCGTCAAGTGACTACAAAACATACGCAAGTTAAAGACTAGTATGGAAGAAACTAAATAGGTGTATATAAAAAAAACCAATTGTTATAACAAGAATATCTATTTAAAATGGGCAAAACCCCTAAAGCAATAAATATTTTTTTTTTCATTTTTTTTTTTGCGCATTTAAAATTCATTAATGAATGAAACGAGGCAATTACAATTGCCCAATTAGTTCAATAAAACCAAATTGGGCAATAGCATTTAACAGAGGTGTGACCGTAAAGACGTAACTATAGGTGTCACAGGTTAAATATTCCATATGCGACAACAGAAAATATAATCTATCAGAAGTCATCTGATTTAATTTGAATGGAATTTAAACTTTTCCACGATTTTATTTATTTGTTTTAAAATACAATAAAATAATAAACTTTATTTTGAGATTTGATAATTGTTAATATGAAATATTAAACGAAAAATATCTAAAAAATGTTGATTAATAAACAAACACCTTATTATCTTGCTAGTATTTTTTTTCCAAGGGTTTATCGCCCATCAAGCGCTGTTTTCCTATAATCGACCCTGAGCTACTTGCTGCTCTTTTCAATAAAAACATAGATTATTCCTATTTATTCAAGTTAAAAACGCCCTATTATTCAAGTTATTGAGATTTCAAGATGTATGGTGTTCAAACATTTAAATTTTGATCCAAATATTAGAATTCGGATACACTGTAGCTGTTAGAATACTTTCAAAGATTAACATTCATACATTCTAATAATTTTAAGTCCTTTTATCGTAAAACTGATCTACTGCGCACAATTCAGGAATGCGGTGCATAACAGTTGGAAAGGTCTTGCCGTAAAAATATTCGCAAGCTAATAAAGTATCAATAAAGTATCAATGCTGGAAAAGTCATCCGAAAAAAATGTTTTAAAAAAATATTGAGACTAATAAGGAGTGTTAAATAACTGACCAAACATTTTTCTAAATTTATTCAAATGTAAAAATTAAATTGAGAGATATTGAATGAACTAAAAATTAGTATAAGACTTAAACTTTGAATATATAGTAATAAGATATAGACATTTTTTTGGTAGGATTCTTTTTTTTGGATGACTTTTTCTTTGACAATCTATATTTGCCTTCATGTGAGAAATGGACTCGATCGTTTTAACTTTAGTTTTATTTTTCGGAGCTAAAAATCATTTCTCACATAAACAGATCATCTTTATATATACATATATAGTAATTTAGTTATTAATGCTTACAAATATATTTTTTAAGGTTAGGAGTATGTGAATGAGATCTATTACGTACTGGTTTTGCAGAAATGTTACCTAAATGAATGCTACAATTCACTAGGGTATCCTTAACATTATAACAAATTTTAAATGATAATTTATTCAAATTTTTCAGATTATCAATGTTTTGTATAGAATTTTATAGACAAAGTGTCAAACAAAAGTGTGATAATCACTCGTTTGAAACCATTTGAAGCAAGTAACAAGTTATAAAATTCTTAAATATGTATGAAGAATGTTTAATTTTTAAACATTTATAAATGTTCGCATTTTCTGATAAAGAAGAAAAATTAATTATTTTGACATACCAAACGTTTTTGTCGTATCAAAAATAGACTTTTAAATGTTTTATTTTTGTACTTTAATATACAATTTTATTTTTCCATAGTTTTATTAAATCTCAAAGATGATAAAATTTTGTCTATTTTGTTTTGCTTTTAATTTAAAATATTAATATTTATTTAAAGCAAAACTTTATTCGTCATATCATTTCTTACTCCTCAATTTTCCTCTCCAAATTTATATATAACATTAAAGCCTTGCTTATCAATAACTCACTTCAAAGTCACTTTCTCCAGTACTCAGAGTAAGAATATAATTATTTTACATTTTTTATGGAAAACATGTAACTCAATTTTTTAAAAATACCGATAAATACAAATTTTAAAGTCTTCAATGTCACATAGAAGAATCTATGCCATTCTCAATCCTTTTGATCCAGGTAACAACGACAGATTATAGATTATAATCTATACTCTGTTATAGATTATGCAGAGTATCTCGACGAACGATTGTCAAATCGTTTGGATTGTCTGAATTACTAATAGCTAATCAGTGCAAATTACGAATTTCTCTGAATTTTTCCACTTATTTACGAAGAGACGTTATTATATATACATATCTTAATCGAAACATATAAGTAATTATGTTTCAAAGAATCAAATAATTGGAGGTGTTTACTTTTTATTTCCTCAATTAACTGAAACTAATAATTTAGTATTCGAATTTTTGAATGATAAATGTGGTTTTGAAAAATTATTTAAGAAAAAGTCATGTTTCATATGTTATACTTAATCGTTCAGTATTAATCTTTTAAATCAAACTTACCATAACTATGTGTTGAGCCGTGATCAGATTCATTTTCGTATGCGGTATTATTATTTACCAAAATACTTTTTTTTCTAGTTGGTCCGATATCCGAGTGGGAATGCACAGAAGTCTTAAAAAGAAAAATAATATAAAAATTATAAAAAAATAACTTGATTCTGAAAATGTACATAACATATTATTCGTATTATTCATAATTTAATAGCTTAAAAAAAAATTCTTTATATTTTATCAATAAACAATGTTATCTAAATTTCGTTTAAGGCAAACAAGCAATTATCACCTAAAAATTAGTTTAATTTGATCAAGAATTATAAAAAAACATCTCATTCAAATTCTTCGAAATTTTGCGTACCTGTGAAAAAAAGATTTAATCGATCAAATACGACTTTGAAACTTTTCGAAAGTCTCGATTAATAAATTATATATTTTTACTTATATACAAATATATTTGAAATAATTCCTATGCTAATTTGGAAAAGCTCATTAAATTATTCATATTTTCATTTGAGGGAATATTATTATTTTTGGCATCCTTCAAATTTTTTTAGCAAGAATACGATATGGCTTTATTGAGAGATTCAGTCTGAAATCAGAAAAAAAATCTTATTGAAAGAATAGTTATTTATTAAGACTTCAAATCAGCAATTTCTTCATTACGGGTTATTTATAAAAATTCGGTTCTTGTTTTTACTCCTGTAAAAATACCGCCTTTTTTCGGATTTCAGTTCAGTTCCCGTTCGAAGCCTTGGTATTTATAAAAAATAATCAATGAAAATATTTTTTTACTTTCCATAAAACTTTTTGCTAAGCAACTGAATAGGGAGATTTGTTTGACTAGAGCTAATCCATAAATTTTTTATTTTAACTAGTAGTCAAGAAAGGAATTCTTTGCATAATATTGAAAATATTTAATTGTGTTATTACCCTATTTTATTATACGTATATTATAATACTAGGATTTCTAAATTTCTATGTCTTACATCAGTTCATAAATAGTAACCTTCTAAAAATATTGTTTAGTTTCTCTGATATAAAACATTTAGAATAAGAATTTAGGTAATAGAGAGGTTTCCAAAAGTTGAATTTAATTCTTAATATTGATTATTAGCGTATTTTTGATATATAGAATATCTTTATTCTAAACATTCATCTGATTTTTTGTTATATGAATTTAAGTAAAAGTAGGGATATAAGGTAACCAATGTATTTGATTGAAATTTCCATTTATAAACTCCATTGTTCCATTTATAAACTGCAAATACGATCCACAGACATTACTATGTGAAGTATTTCATATAAACTATATGTACCATAAAACAATAAGAAGTTCTTCATACATATATACTAAATGAATTATAGATTGTAATATTAAATTGTAAAATATTTATTAAATACAAAGACGAGACGTAACGATAGCTTACGATTTCTAAACTAAAACCGAAACCATTATAATATTGGGCTTTAGCTTGAAATCCATTGTTAAATCGGTGTAATCTAAAAATTGTCATCGTGTCCTAATTATAAATGTACTTAATTTATACAATAACTACTATATATATTTAGTTCTGTCTTATTTAACTAGTTTAGATTTCAGAACAATGGATTAAATCAAGATCCATTGGTCATCTTAAAAACAGCAAATTTCTGAGTGGAGAAAAGTCTTGTCTGAATCGACCAAAACTTCAATTTATGGCTGATAATGTCTCTTATTTTGTGATGTGCTCAGAACAATATTAAAGATTAATTTATTTAATTTTACTAAAAATAAAACAAAGTTACAAATAGAGACGCATCAATATCGATGTTTAATTTGCTTATCTGTATATTTTTTATAAGAAATCACTAAAAAATGTTTTCACATAACAAAGAAAAAGTGCGTTTCTAATAAAGCCGTGCACATTATCACACATTTTTGATTGGAACAATCAAAAATTACACTTATAATTGCTTCCTAATCGACCGTATTTACTAGGTTAGGTCCTCAGCAACAAGTCCGCAAATCCCAAAGAGATACTAAATTCATATAGAAAACAAATTCATACCTTATATACAATATATTTTGAGGATTAATCATTTTATATGAGAGCCATGGATATGTTAAAAAAAATATTGTAATGATTGTGTTGCTGTTGAGGGAACCTAAATAATAAGAAGAGTCCATGTAATAATAAATTAATATTATTTTATTTTTCATAGAAAAAACTTTTCGATTTATTAAAATATTTTCAAACACATTGTTATTTGTTACATATTAAAAAATGTTATAGATCGATAAGGTCTTGGTTGTAAAGTAACGATTATGTACATTAATGGCTTTAATCACATGGTCTCATTTTTGAATTACTCTGTATTTAACAGTTTTTGAGATATTAAGAGTCTTGTGAGTAAATGTCTTTTTCATATGTGCGATTTTTGGACACCCCTATTTGTGTATATATTGTAAATGAAATAGAATTATTCATTAATTACCATATTCAATATATAAGGTTCTCCAATAATAATTATTTTGTTATAAGAAGTCAGATATTAAAAATCAATTTTATTCAGAACAAATATTTTAAAAAGTTTAAGCAAAATTAGATACAAATAAATTTTAGAAACTAATTTTTGAAAAAGTTAAACTATACTATATTTAAGAGGACGTTAATTAATTATATTAAAGACTTTATGTACTTTTTAAAACAAGTGCGCAAAGGATCCATAAATGGTGTAAGTGAAGTCTGTTGGAGGATCGCCCTTGAAATGTAAACTCAGCTCTATATTAATTAATTATTAATTAATTAATTAATATTGCTTATCTAAAACAATTTCACTTTAATTTTTAGTACATCCATTAAATGTAGAGATTTAGATGTAAAAAATACATTTATCAATTTTATATAGACGTTTCTGATAATTTTTTCTAGAAGTTTTTCAAGTCATACGCAAGTCAATACATGATGGATATGGTTTTTATAAAATAGCCTTATTAAAAACAGACTATTAACTACTGTAAAAATCAAAACTATTATATTTATTAATAAAACTCTATAGTGTAAGTCTACTGAATATATTAAAATATTTTTTTCTTATTTCTTAAGCTTTGTAAGTATGCCATGCCGGTGTGAGATAAAGCTATATAAATCTTTTCATAATACATTAATTTAAAAAAAATCTTAATTATTTATAAAAAAACAAAACAAAAATTGTTTTACAACAGCGTTTAAATAAATTTTTTTTAATAATTTTTAAGCAATTTAAATTATATTCCAAAAAGTTCTTAATGAAACGAAGAATTTTTTTTAACCCTCTTTGGAAAATTATTAACCTTGTAAGAACACTAATTATATTTATAATTTTATAAATTAAATAAACTAAATTAAAATAAATAAACTTATTAAAAAAGTAACAAAAAAAAAATAATAAAATTCTTACCTGTGATATTTTTCTCCGTGGATTTTGTTCGAAAGCTGGGTTGTCATAGCCATGTCTGCCATCAGTGGCAGGATCAGAGGCTATGCTCACACGTCGTTTTGGTTGGTTATCAACAACTGAAATTTTAAGACTATTACCAGTTGCGGCTGGCATGGGTGTGGTGCTTATGCCAGTAATTTCGGGTACTACCATTGTGGGAACGCCAGCGTTCCCATTGCCAGTGCCCGATTCATTGCTATCGTTCATATTCAGTTTATATGTCTGCGAGAAAAAAAACAAATTTTCATTTATTTTCAATTGCAATAGCTAATCCGTGCATGCTATTTCAACAGAGATTTATTTTAAACTAATTTCACGTAATCTGTATTGATGTCTAAATTTAGTATGCATTTATTAATTTATTTTCAAAATCATTTAACACTTTTATTCGGGATCAATCACTCACAAAATGCATTTTCACCGCTTCTTTATCATTTAATCTCGTTATTCTCGGACAAATTATTTACGACCTTTTCGTACACCGTTTAATGGCGAAATGAAATGGTTTACGTTTTTCTGTCACAAATCGACTTAACTAATTTCATTTGCTATATAAAGTTTATGAAGTTGTGAAAATGCTAAAAATTAACACATAGACTCATACAATCTGCTTTCAATAATAAGAAAAAATCTCAAGGAATTAGCATTAATTAGTTTCATTTTGAAGGAAGCTCGAACAGTAAATACAGTAAAGTTATATGATTTTTAACTTGAAATCTGCCAGGTTTTCATTTGTATATATAGCACATATGTTCTTCGATTTCATTATACACAATTAAACTGTTTACCTCACTTATTCATTACTAACTTTATAAAATTATTATTATTATTTAAAATATTATAATAAGTATAGTAATAATTTAATAATTAACAATATACTCTTAACTTTACTTTGTGTATATTTAGTTACTTACAACTCGATAGTACATATATAATAGCATTGTGATTTATAAAAATCGTAGCACCCATGGCATCTCCGAAACCCTGAGTTTTATTGTAAAGTTGGTTCAAAACAAAGCCTCAGATAGAGAAATCAATTTAAGCAGAAAGGCGACGCTACCAATGCAATTTTTTGTGTAACCACAATCAATAGGCATACTTCTTCAACATAACAGAGGTTTGTCAGTTATCGAACTATAACTATTATTGATATTCAGATGTCTGAGTTGGTGAATCAGCACCTTTACTCTATTTTATCTGTGGACAGTTTTAAGTCACACTAAGAATAACTGAATACGGGGCTTTATAATATGATGGATCTGATGTCTTTGTATCTGCCTGTGTTTATCAAATTACGCTGTATTTTTAGGATGCTGAGAGTTGGATTATTGTGACTGTCAATTATATTGAACAGTTTCAGAGCACGAAACTTAACTTTAACTTATTTTGCATCTCAATTAAATGAGTATATCTGAATTGACAGAATTTTGTCACTTCTCATTACATTATTTTCGAGTGTGTAGCTTTCATCTAAGCGAGAAAAATAATGCTGGGCAGAATTTTTATTTTAATCTGCTATTCTTACTACTATAGTAGAAATAGGTCTTAGGTTAGACTGACCTCCAACGAGAGTCATTCTAACAATTATTCGAAATATAAATGTGTACGGATTGGTCTGTCAGGCGCAGTGTTCTTCCTCCCTGAATATTTAAAACCTTGTTTATTGCTATTATTTCATTTTAAATAAGAAGTCCTTAAATAGACTTTGATTTGTTAAGTTATAAAATTTTTACAAAGGCAATGTATATTTTGCAAGGTAACTTTGGAAAACAACTTTTAAAAAAAAATTAATTTTTAATTCTTATATATAAGAGGGCATCAATTAATTATATTAAACGCCCCATGTACATTTTAAAACAAGAGCGGAAAGAATTCATAAATGGTATAAGTAAAGTCTGTCGGAAACTGCCCTTTAAAATATAGCCTATAGACGAAAGAGGCAAGGTTAATCACTTTAACGCGAGTCTAAAAAAGGGAATACAAAATTTGTACTGTTGTGTAATATATGAAGATTTTATTTACCCAGTAATGCAAAACGTGTCCTTACATCACAGCAATAGTACTCTCCAGCTATTGGGAAACTAAACCTAACTGTAGCCTTTCAATATGTACTTAACTTGCACAAAATTAACAAAACACCTCTGTTAAAAATTATGGTAGATAATAAAGGCCTTAAAACTTCTTATTGTTATCTATAACTTTCGATATCCTGAAAATAATTTTTATTTAACGAAAGCCAATATATATGACAGGCTACCGTTATTTGCTGAAGGTTACGCAAATAGGTGACTTACTAACTATTTATGAATATTAGGAGTCAGATATCAATCATAACAAACTGTGCATAATTATAGCTTTTAGCAACTAACTTCGTCTACAGGATTTGGGAAACTGTATACTCTCCAACATATGTAGATTATCATCATAACCAGTATACCTGTTGAGGTGATAAATGTTACGCACGACAAAGTTCCGTAGATATAACAAGAGATACAAACTCAGAAGAAAGAAAAGAATTAGCTAGTAGTAGTAAACAAACACCAGGAATTAAATAGTTATTGCACCCAACATAGAATCGAACCCTAATCAAGTTGGAACCACTATAATTTATACTGATTTGTTATATTATATTGGATATAACATATGTAAATATGCTATAGATCATCTGAATGAAAGAGAAATTAAAGATGTTTATATATTAAGTGTAAACATGTATCTTGAGTATCACAGTTACTTTTAAGATATTTTTTGAAATATATTGTACATATGGAAGCGGTGAAGCGGTAAGCGACTGATTTTGTATAAATTATGATACTAAAATATACTCTAGAATATTGTTAGAGTTAGCAATATTCTATACAGCTAATTACAAAAGAAATCAACGACGCTTCTATACATAAAGAAAAATCAAACAAATTTTATATTTCTGGAGAAAGTTATATCCTATATGAGTCATAAAATACAGAACATGATATTGCTATAAATGCAATCAATACATAATAGTTCAATACACTAAAAATACAATATTATAGAATATATATAAGTATTTAATATATATAAATCAATATATATATATCAATATATATCATATCTCATATCATATCATATTATATATAGCATATATATCACTATATATACTTATCAATATATAAATAATTGATTCGACTCCTTCAAATGAAGAAATATTTTCTCTTGGGTGCTAATAGAAAATGTACGAATTGTATATTGTTGGATGTTGTTTAATTACCATACCATACACAGAGTAAACAAACATATATATCGTGTAACATGACGCTTCTACATATTTGAAAGGTCACTTATTTTCATTATCGAAAAAATAATACTAATGAGAAATTCTGAGACTTCAAATTTTAAAAATATTTACAATATTAAGAATTTACAGGTCTTAAACAGGAGAGCAAGTCTCCTACGTTATCATTTAAAATCGTTCAGTCGAAGTGTGATTTCACATTAGTTTTTAAGAAAAGATATTTTTTTTATCTTTTTCCTGTCTGAAGTGTGGTCCCCCTGCGGGTAAGGGGTTAGAATAGCAGCACTGTTTGAACTGTAAATGTTAGTGAGTGAGTTTTCACTTACGTCACCTGACAGGAGGTTTGTACCACGGGGGTCAGTGTCCGCAGCTTCATTAGTTCTGACCAATAGAGGTTGGCAGTGTCACGGTGGATGTGATTACTATAGACAAAATCTAAGTCTTCTAGTACACAATCGAAACAAAGAAATGAAACAGCTTCGAAAAATTTTAAGACCCATGAACTGACCAAAAACATGATGGCTAGAAATTTTAGCATTGTGTATTGTCTTATTCATATGGATTATCACTCGTAGTAACTATTACTATGTAGTAACTATTTCTTAAAAATTTTAAGACCCATGAACTGACCAAAAAGATGATGGCTAGAAATTTTAGCTTTATTGTCTTATTCATATGGATTATCACTCGTAGTAACTATCATTATGTAGTAACTATTTCTTGATTAATAACTTATTAATTACTTGATTGTAGTTACTACTTAGTTAAGAACAGAGTTCTCTACCATCAAGAAAATGCATACATGCAAGCATAACCGCCTTTTTTTGTGAATTCATCCAATAGATCTGTGTAATTCAAAAGTGATGCTTAGATAGATTAAAAATATTTAAAAATCAGCTGTTGTATTTACATTTTGTTTGATTAAGGTCCTAAAATAAGCTATGCGAAATTACAACACAGCATTTTCATTCACAATATATCCAAAAAAAGAAGAAATGATACTTTAGATTGAAATGCATCTCAGCGTCTGAAGCCTGTTTTATAAATTAAATCAAAGTTTAACGTTCTAAAGATTCCAAAGCTATGCAGTGTCTTGCACAAATGAGTTATATATATATACATTAGACCTATATCGTATCTATATTGTACCAATGAAGTAATCAATTTTTGCCAAAGATGAATCAAGTAAGGTGGTTTTTAGTCAATGCTTAAGAATATTTTTTAATATGTTTTGTAATTAATATTTAATAATTAATAAAAATCGATACTTGAAAAACCAATTATACCAACTGAACGTGTAGCGCATCCATTTTACAACTTAGGACAGCAAATAATTACTTTACTAGCTCATATAAAATTAAGATGTGATATAATTTAGTAGCGAAATAATAAAAGTTCGTTCAGTGCTAGTTTACTGCACTTACAGCCAAATCTTGAAAAATGGTAAACAACTGCAAATGAGTGAATCTATTATCTGAATTCACACATTTGTACTAACCAATACCTGCTGATAGAAATGCAAATGCCTTTGAGAGTTCGAAAAAATCTAACATCTGCCAGATTTTGTTTACTCGAAACTCTTGGCGTATTAATTAGTTTAATTAATATAAATTTTATGAAATTTTTTTGACTTTGATTAACAATGATTTTAATGTCGCACATATCGCGTCACGTGCCCAAAGTAAATACATATTTCGCATTTTTCTCACACAATTCAAAGCAAATTAAATGAGAATACAAGGGAATGAAACAAAAGAAATTATAATGTTTTTTGAGTGAATCTCTTATGATTAATAGACAAAAAAATTATAAAAAATAATGAACATGTTATATCTATTATAAAATCTATTATAAAATAGATAATGAACATGTCATATTGAACGCACAGATTTTAATGTTTAACAGGAAGTAGTTGTTCGGTGAATGACCGTGTAATAAAGTAATTTGTTACTAACTCAAATAATTGGAAAACTTAATAATAAAAAAAAAGTTGTAGTAATAATTATTATCATAATTTTGTAACATAGCTAATCCGCATATCGACAACATTGAACAAAAGTATGCCCAGAAAATGAGCACCTACATTCCACCATTTCAATCGGAGTTTCAAACAAATTTGAAGATTTTAGCGAGTGGTTATAGTACCAGTAACGCTATCAGCTACTGCAATAGAATCCAACCCTCTAAAAAACCAACGTAGATACTTAAACTTTCGGAACAATTCATAACATCCATTAATAAATATGTAGCTATTACTGCATACCTACGCAAAGGATAGGGAAACTAACAAGGAACTTTGGAGAAAACTACAATAACACAGGTGTAGAGTAGGAACTATAACCTTCAATAAATATAATTTTTCCGAATCTGTGTACTCACTATTTCAAAAATAATTCTGTACCTGTATTCAAATAAAACACACAAAAAACAACCGAATGCTGGCTCTCTAAGAGGAGTACACAGAATAAAATCTATCCTCTTAGTTCCAATGAAAGACCTATCCTTAAGTCACAGAAAAAAAGACGCTACACCTTTCGAATGTAAGCCAAATTTTAAGTTAACAAGAACATCTCTGGACAAGAATAGAAACTTCCGAACTCATAACCGGAATCTATCCTCGTGGTACCAATGAAAGACTGATCCTTATTAAGGTGATAACGCAAGCTCAGATGACTCATTCGATAACCCACTAACTATCTTATTTCCATGTCACTGATGAATGATAGTCTACTGTAGTGTAACGGACTTACTAACTCTTTAGCCTGGTCATTATCTGGACTGTCGCGTCAGTAGTAACTTCTTTCGGCTACAAACCTTCCCTGTATTACATAGAGAATAAATAGCTACTAAATGACTACAAAATTTACTTTAAATTAAGAAAATTTCGTTACAGCTTACTTGCAACATCCATATTATGTTACGTGTGATATGTTGTTGCTGAAACCTATAAATTTATATAAAATGCCGCGACCTATTTTTTCGGATGTTGTTAATAAACTTTGAGAATCTCATAAAGCCTATTAATTCTGTTATTTTCTCGTTCAATGCGTTCGGGGTTAACTCTTCATTTCAAGATAGTCTAAATGGTGCAGTGATAAGGTTTAATTTAGTCTCCTAGAAAATTATTTCTTGCAGAGCTATACGTAGACTGTAAAAAAGTTGGCAGTCTATGGTCATTACACTAAAACATAAATGCAGATCTATCAAACACAAGTGATTATGGTTGGATCACTGGTGTGGTTGGATTATGCATCAGATGTGCTTCCAAGTGTAACGCGTACGTGGTTATTATTAATAAAAGTATGTACAATTTTACATAGAGTATGAAAGTGACTTTCTGTATAATTTCTAGAACGTTCCACCAAATCTAATATATACATTTTTACCCTCTTTAAATTTTAGTTTAAAGAAAATTACACGGATGATGGTAATAAAAAATTCATATATAATATTTACAAGATATTTATGAATTTAATCAAAAAATGTGACTGAGAAATTATTTTTGTTTTCTAAACTGACAATTCTCAAAAGGAAAAGTTGGCATAGAGTGTTTTTCTTAATCTTGAATTAAAAGTGAAAAAATTTTTATTTCTGGTAATAGAGATGAGTGTGTGACAACACTTACTATGGAGAAATATAATCAAGAATGCATTAGAAAATTCGTACACTATTCGGAGAATAGCAACAGTCTTCAACACTTTTTTTTAAACAAGCCCGAGCATAGACTATTAGCATATTATTGGTTGCAGAAGTTGCGAAGTTATGAGTGCGAGAATTTCGAAGATCAATTTGTTCGCAATCGTTATATAAGGAATCTGATGGCTTGTATTAACAAGGAAACGTTGTTTGGTTCTTTTTTGCTGAAGCCTCCTAAAGGTAAATTACCACCTACTGATTTTTATATAAATTATTATGCAGAGGAAAAAGATACGAAAAAGGGGTTGCCACAGAAAGGTATTAAAATTTATAATTATATAACTACATCTTAATGAGAATAATTTTCTTTGAGGATCCTTAAAAAAGCCCAGTTTCGTGCCCAATTTAGACCAATCAAGTCAAGGTGAGTATGATACATTAAAGGAACCAGATATTAGATGCCTGACCAATGTGTGCGATGACAGTGCAGAGGAAATCAAACTTGAAATACAAGAAAGTGATCCAGTATGGAAGCTCAATGTGAAAGTTCTTCTCAAAGCAATAACAGCAGAATTAAGAGGAGACATTGATAATGAACTTAAACAACATCTTGACCGTGAATTAGAGCGCTACAAAGATTTTATAATGAATTATCCAGACTTAATGGCGCTGTATGAAGAGCAGAGTGTTTCATCTCAATACTCCTTTCTTTTAGTTCAGCTTCAAAACGATATCATCAAACTACTCCATTCTGCGGAGTAAATTCCTATGCAAAGAACTTCAGAAATAACTAATGAGGATATATAACCATTTAGAACTCCCACACTCATAGAAAGCCATTACACCGGTATATAAGCATACAACCATAAGTCTGTTATCAAAATTTCTTCAATATTTGTCTTTCAGATCGTTGTCATTATTTACTGAATGGAATACAGATGTGACTTATTTTAATAGATTATATTAATTAATGGAAATTTTTTGATCAAATAGTGAGAACAGCACTCTAAGGAGTTACAAAGCTTATATATTTTTTTTAATTTAAACCAAAACTGCAGATGGATTTTACCAATTTTCTTTGTATTAACTATAAATTTGCATATCTCAACGTTGTCTATTATTTTAAATATACAAAATTTGTTTCAAAAAAAGACGATTTCTTGAAATTATCTTTAGTATAAGGAGAGGGATTAAAACAACATTGTTGATTATTAAATAATCAAAAATTTGTAGTTGAAGAAAATTAATGTTAATAATTTGATATTGAAATTATGATCAGAAAGTTAATTAAAATACATACATATGTAACGTATATAGCAATATTTTCTTAGCTAAATATTAGAATCCATAAATTAATGTAATAAAGATAAACGCTTCAAAATAAATATGAATATTCCGGGAAATTATTTAGCTAAAAGTTTTAAATTAATATAGTAAAATGGTAAAAGTTAATTTTTATTATCATTGACACTACAAGAGACGTCCGCTCTTGATCTCATTTAATTGTTGTTGTTGTTGTTGTAACACCCTGGAACCTGCTTATGAAGTTCTTTTGGAAGGTGCAGAATATCAATTGGTCATCGCTGGCAACGAGTGACTCTGGAGTGCAAATCCGGTCAATCTTGAAACTACCTCACTTAATAAGTCTCTACATCGAACTAAATTGCAAGTCGTTGTCATTCAATTAAGCGCCTCCCAGGTCTAACAGTCCTGATTTACACCTTCCTGGTCTGCTTATCGCTTATTATAAAATTTTTCACAAAGAATTTTCCGAATTTATTACTCCTCAGCCATACAAATTAGATGATCCGCTCACCGAAGTGAGTGACTGTATCTATTTTAATATAGTTCACTTATAGTTTGTAGTATAACTTGTTCAAAATCACTTTTATCTTAAATGCAACTAAGAGTTCAGAATGCCACTTACTACCCAAATTTATCAAGATTCACACTTGATAAGTGGTAGAATCATTGTTTCTTACAACAATGACTTCAATAGAATCATAATAGACTGTATCAACCTTTGTTGGATTTTAGCACTAGCTTCGATATATAAATATGTTTTATATAATTTAAGAATAATATCTAATATATAAATATATTTTATGTAATATAAGAATAATTTTATATTAAATAAAATTTAATTTATTAATTTAAATTATACATATAATTTAATTATTTAATATAATATAATTATATAATTTATATATAATTATAGCATATAATATAATATATAATATTTTTATAATATAATTTATATAATATATATTATATATATAGCCAAAATTAATAAAAAAGTTATTGATTTTATTGAAGATTCTTTACCTATCACACGTGTAATTACAAATCAAATATATTTAATAATATTTCATTTTAATTTTTTTAAAAACTTAAACTTTAAAATTTGCTTTCTAAAATTAAATCATACATAAATCCAGCCCACAAAAATAATCAATAAAAAATCTCTGTCTTGAGTTTTATTCGATTAGCTCACATTAGTTTGCATATGAGCGGCTAGCTCAGGAAACACATGGCTGCGAGGAATATTATTGGTTAAAATATACCATAGATGGACGGAATTTTTTTCTATCTCTTTTTACGATCTTTGAGACGTAGTCATATATTTAATACAACAATTTTTTTCCCTTGTCACTTATAATTATTTATTTCAAACGGGTACTTATACCTCATAATGTGTTAAGAGATAGACAGACAGGCAACCAGATGAATAACAATAAAACATTCTGACTTAATAAAGAATTAAAAATATTTAGAATAAATATTATCTCTATGGGCCTTTACCATAGCTTTTTTTTAGCGTTACAGACATACCATATAGCCAAACTTGAGAGTTATATCCTTTGTTCACAATAGTATGAAGCGTGCAATACCCTTAATAAATGTTAAATGGAAGTTTGGCATTTTAGTATTAGCAATTCTTCTTATACTCTTGAATATGACATGACTAGTGATAAAGTATCTAACTTATTTGTTTTTTAAGTTACTTACATTGTTTTTTGTTGTGGTTATTTTGATGTTAATAAACGAATGGTAACACATTTCGTAAAACTTTGAAAACTTGGCAATCAATGCCAAGTTTTCGAATAAAGTTGAAAAGTTTCGAGATTACTTTTGTAAGTTTTAAATGCTAAATAAATGTTTAACTTTTAAAATTCACAAAACAAAAAAAATTTGTTCGCTTTATAGTAGTTTTATATATTTTTACTTGTTAACCATCTAAGCAAGTACTTTTCCGATATTCACTCTATGACTGAATAAAGTTTTCAAGGCATGTTAATATTTGTTGACTTTTATGTAAATATATTGCAATTTTTTCATTTTTCTTAATTATTTTAAAATTTTTTCTAAGCTCTTTGCGATTTTTGCAAAGAAGCACATAAACAATTCTGAGAATTGAATGAAACGAAATAATTTGCGGCATATTTACGCCAAAAATGCTTTAAAAATTCTCGGGCTCAATATTTGCTAGTGAGAAATGCACCGATCAAGACCAAAGATTATATAAAACTAAGTGATTTCATCGGTGTGATGTACAATTGAATAAACCAGTACGGTAAGCATTCAGTGAACATCTGACCAACCTATTAAACCCAAAAAACAATTTGTACACACCGCACGTTTATAGTTGAAAATCAGTGGAAAAAAGATACAATGAAAAAAAAGCATTTATTTTCATATGTAAAAACAATTTCGATTTTTTTGTTCATTAACTTTTTCCATTTTTTTTTTTTATTGAACAAATTTAATCGCCGACCTTCAATGAGGTCACCTTATTAACCCATGCGCAACTAAACCCAATTTTAACTTAAAAAATTAACAACTTCGGAGCCAATAAAATACTGTAAATTACTATATTGATCGAGGAAACTTACATAAAAACTGAAAATTAAAAAAAAAAATATTACATGTCAAATACTTAAATTAGCAATAAAAGATAAATATTTTAATAGCAAATATTGTTAATACTTTTACACAATAATTTGTTAATCATTACTTTTGCTAAGCAATTCAATTGTTATTTTTATTGCTAAAAAAGAGTTACTTTTGTAACCAATAAAATGTACTTAAAATAAATAATTTTAAAAGATTTAATTATATTCACTCATATTAATAACGTTAATAGCATTTTTTTTTATATATATATAAACAATCATAAACTATTAATGTAAATGAAGTTTATGGTTTCGATCGTAGTTAGGGCATTTTTAAGAAAAAAAAAACAATTTCCGGACTTGCACAGAATATATATAATATATATACAACACTGAGATCACTCGAATCACTCGCCAATCGATGGCAGATTGCAGACATACAGACAAAAAGGGAGACAATTACTATTGTGCACATACTATTTTGAATTACAAATTCCGAATAGTTTTTACACATAATGTATCACTACTAAAACTAAGTTAAATAACTAAAAAATTTTTTTTTACAAATGTTTGGTTAATTGGTTGCAGTGGCAGGATTTTAGATAACTTCCATGTACCTCAATCAGCGATTTTTCGGCGTTTTACTACCACATTCCTCACAAGAACCACTAAGAAAGAAGAGTGTAGACTAAAGCCATCCCGTTGAATTTAAATAATTTAATTGGTTTTTCGTTTTTACCGATGAACAGTCTATAAACTGTCTTCCTGAAAACCTATTTCTTCTGGACGCCAAAGCCGGGCATTCGCAGAGAAAGTGTTTTATAATTTTTTTCCTGCAGGTTGACATAAATGACATAATGACATAAATACTATATAAGAACGTATATGGTACTAAAAAAAAGGTGTGTCGATGCTGCTCCACCACTTTTGTCGTACAATGTTGTATGCATTGCCACTAAATTTACTAATTTTGTCTCTAACCCATTCCATAATTGATCTTTCAAGCCAATATTTTCTGGTATATTCAGTTCGAGGTCGCTCAAACTTAAAAATTGTATTGTATAATAAAGATTATTATATATATACAATATATTTAATTCATTAATGGCTGATTAAGGACCAGTAATTCAACTATCAAACCAGTATTTCCCGGTATATCTAGTTCGAGGTCCCTCAAGCTCATTAATCGTATTATATGATAAAGATTGTTATATATATAATGTATTAAACCATTGAGGACCTTTAATTGAAGTCTTAAGCCAGCATTGGCAGTATATCCAATTCGTGGTATATATATATATAATATATTTAAAAATAATATAATAATCACGTAATGTAATTCCTAAGAGCGTTACTATCCAGTTCTTAGCTTACCCAGTTTAACTGGTAAATTAAAAAACTCTGTTTAATCCTAATAAATTTTCTTTCTTAAATGGAAAAATGTTAAGATGATCAGAAGTGGTTTAACTAAAATATTGAAAACAAAATGTTGCGAATCTTTTAGAGACAATTGAAACTTTATATCTCAATATGTAACCTTATATTATATTTTTATTATTAAATTATTATTTTATTTTTACTTGTACTTTTCATTTAACATTTCTAAATTATATAGTAATTAGTAGGGTTAGATGAAATAATTGTTACGAATTCGGTCGCCAATCTATTCGATGGTACATTGGGACAATTTCGATATTTCTTTTAGCATTATCTTTAAAATCACCTATAATGCTGAATACTAGTTCACAATTTCTTCATTAATTTGACACAATTCAGTGGATAGTATATCATGTTAGTACATCATATAAAGTTATAGATGACGACATCCCACGGGAGTGTCGGAGGAGAAGCATTGTGACCCGAATAAACACTTATTCAAAGTGGAATTTAGATTTTAGGCTATACCAGTGAATCGTTAGCTGATTTTATTAGTAGTGTCATACAAAATTTGCAATTAAATTTTAATATTATATAGAAATGCAGCTGCTTAATATTAAAACAATTTAATATTTGTTGCTACGTTCATGATCGAAAAATTTAATAAAAATCATAAAATTAAAAATAAAAAATTACGCTAGTCTATAAAATTACTTTGAAATGCA